TGCAGAAGTCCAGGTAGATGACATCAGTTTCCTTCCCTTTGTTCTCAGACGCTGTCACTCCACCACAGAAGGCTACTAGATTGGTCAGGCACAATCTCCCCTTGGTGAAGCTGTGCTGTGCAGCTTTATTTCAATGCAGCTATTTTATGATATGATCATAAATGAATCTGGAGAGAAAATAGAGAAAAAAATTCATGACAAATGAGAAAAGTCCAGATGAGAAAATAAAGGTGTTCAGAGGATAATTCACAGGTGAATGGGCCAAATGTCATTTGCTTTCCTGCTGGCAACGATGAAAATATTAGATGGCAAAAAATTCCGAAGAGTAACCATTTTCCATCCCTTCCTTCCAAAGAGAAAGGTAGCTACCAATGATATCTGTCTCTTTAAGCCACAGATAGTCATCTAAAATATGGATCAGGAGTTGAAAAAAAGTCTTTCCAGAAAGTTGGTGTAGTTTCTGGTTGTGTCAAAATACAGTGACAGTGAGGCAGATGCTTGAAAAAAAAAATCAGAGCTGTTTCAAAAATAGCAGTCTGTGGTGGGTTATGACAACTACAAGGCTTTGATGCAAATTGGGTTAAAAGAGAAGTTTTTATCATTCATTCAAACCTCTGAGGTCAGGTGGCAGAAGCATCAGACGGGAGAGAGGCTCCAACATCTGCTTTCAGAAGTGGCTGTCAGGAAAGACTGTGTAGCTCTTGTTCCTTTACATCGTGGATGCTTCTTGGTATGTCCTGTTGATGTAGGTTGTTTTTGCATCTCTGCTGAGATGCAGTGCAAAGTGAAAAGTAATAATACTGTTGGCTTGTCAACAGCTTGTTATAAACTGTACTTCATATAGCATCAGCTTAGGAAAATGTCTTGTTTTAGCCTTGCCTGTGCAGAAAGCATGCTGAGTTTCTACGGTGAAATAAAAAATGTGACTCTGAAATCTATAAACAAATTCCTTTTGCAAGTGTTGCTTTGAATGCAACAATTGTCAGTGTTTCATACTAGGAAATAAAAGCCAGTTCTCCAGGGTGGCAGACCTCTGGTCTCATGAAGAATTAAGTGCATGCTGTAGCGATGTCTTTGGTTGCTGTGATGCTTTCCATCCCCGTAGGCTCTACAGGTGTTATGTGCTCTTCCTCTTATAAAAATCATAGAATCATCATAGAGTCATAGAATGGCCTGGGTTGAAAAGGACCACAATGATCATCCAGTTCCAACCCCCTGCTATGTGCAGGGTCACCAACCACCAGACCAGGCTGCCCAGAGCCACATCCAGCCTGGCCTTGAATGCCTCCAGGGATGGGGCATCCACAACCTCCTTGGGCAACCTGTTCCAGTGCCTCACCACCCTCTGAGTGAAAAACTTCCTCCTGATATCTAACCTAAACCTCCCCTGTCTCAGTTTAAGACAAAAGGCAAATAACATCCTGACTGTCAGAGCCTGAAATTTTTATGCAAGTACTCTCTCTTGAACTGCTGCAAATCTTGGCTCTGCGATGCTGGTTGGAGTGTCTAGATATGGCTGAGATGTATTTTCTGGAATATTTCCTATACCTGCTTAAAATATGCTGAGTGGCTCAAGACAGTTCAGTGGAAGCAGTGCAATTTATCCGTTGTGTGGCATTAGTTTCATAATAAAGGCAATTGCAATCAATATTTATGTGCTTAGAAAGTGTGTATTCCTGGCCTTAGAAGCCAATGAATGCCAGATTATATGGGCAGCACAGGCTTCAGTGAAAGACTTATGTTGTGTACCAGAAAATACCTGTAGCCATCAGTGTGCTACAATGATAGATTAGTGTTTCATTCGTGGAATCATGCAAGATGCATCCTGAAGAACTGAATTTATGAAAAAGAAAACACATGTATGTGGTGTTAGCAGTAGCATTTCAAATGCAGCATTGCATTACCTGGTTTGACAGACATTAAAATAAAATTAAGTAGTACAGGAAATAGAAAAATAAATGCCTTGAAAGTGTGAAAGGGGATGCTACTTCTTACTTCTCACCAGGCTTTATGAGTCTGCATTAAAAATCCTTGGATGAAGTAATATCCTGAATCTTTGAATTGCTGGCTGTGTGCTTGAGATCAACTCTTTCACAGTAGCACTATTCTACATAAACCTACCTGGACCAGGAATAGTTTACATGAAAGAAGAAAATAACGTGCTTCTCCCATTCATATTTTCACAGGTGGTAAAAATGGTCTGTTGTCCCATCAGCTTGTGTTGTTTCATTTTTGAAGGTGCTGTTTCTAGTTATGGCAATCTGTTGTGATTATAGGTCATGAGAAATAGCAGGCAGGCAAAACAAAGCAAGTCAAGTGTTTTTCTTCCCAGCTGTATACTGCTAAGGAACTGTCCCCAGGTTTATATTGTGAAAGATGGTAATTTTGTAGTTTCTGACAATTCATGTTGGACAGAAACAGCCTAGTAGTCATATTCGGCTCTGACTTAAATCAGCACACTGTTTTCATTCCAGTGTTATAACTGGATTTTCATCCTTATACAGGAACAAATGAATAGCTTATAGATGTTGCATTATTATTAAATGTTTGTAAATTTGTCAGCTCGCATGTGGAAATGAATAGTTAGGTCTTGCCGCGGTATGTAGACTCAGGATGTCAGTTGTTCTCTGAAATGTTCATGCTCTTTAAATGCAGTCCTCTTATCTTTTAGAGGAAAATAATAAGAATCCTTCCTACGATGCCAGTGGTTTATCTGGCTCCTCCTGGAAGAAGTTGCTCTGATTTTTGCTATAAACAAGGAGAGAAGTGTTAATAACTTGGGAGGAAAATGAGTGGCTGATGGCCAGGAGGCAGCAACAACTGTCTGAAATAACAGACTAGTAAAAATACTCCTTTTACAGTGCTTCTGATGGTCATGTAGACCATCTTAAGTCAAAGCTTTTACTAGCTGTGCTTTTATTCAACTGTGTTTTGAAAACTTTCAGAGACAGATTCCACAGGCCTCTTCTGGACAGCCCCTCTGGTGATTAGATTCCTCCAGATCTTTCTTTTCATCAGACAACTCTACCTGTCCACATAGACTGTGCCTCAGAGCCCTAACTGCGCTGACCTTTCTGTGCTGCTCCATCAGTTTTTCCACAGTTGCCTTGAACTGGGAAGCACAAAACTAGACTCCATATTGTAGGCAGGGCCTGATCTGTGCTGCAGAGAAGGCTGTAATAGCTTGCTTGGCTTTCCTGACTAACCCCTTGCTCGTGTAGCCCAGTGTATTTTTATAAAGCAGAAAAAAAAACCAAAGAGAAGAGCAGAAGAGAAGGCAAAGTGACTCTGAGGAGATAGCTGCACTGACCTCTGATCTGAAAGTCCAGGGATTCATGGAATTATCCATTATCCAGTCACTCGTTCCTCCCTACTGATACTCCATATTTTCCTTCGAAAGGATTGTAGAGTGGAGAGCACACAGTAACCCAGTTGAACCTTTTATGTAGTACGTGTTACTGGTGATAACATTCAAATTATGCTTAATTGCCTCTAAATGTGCTTCTGCATCTTGGAATCTTCAGGAAGTCTTTCAGTTTGTTCATATGGGCACAATGTACTTGTAGTGTTACAGAGAAAATGATGCTCTGTTTGAAAGAAGCTTGCTGATAATTTCACACTATCCATTTTTAATTTGTATTGAGCTCATCAATTGAAATCTTAAACTTTAAAGCAGATTCTTACTAGATCAAATGTAGTTTCTGAATGAATCTGTTTTGGGTCATTCCATGAAGACTGCTACAGCTGGCAAACAGCTGATCACCTGGAAACGATTAAGAGACAATGTTTTAATGGAGCTAATTATAATAATTTGATAATAGCACAGGAGAAAACAGCAGGTAGTTCTAGAGAAATCATGTTACTTTATCACTGAAATTTAATATCTAAATTATCTAATTATACGTAAGCCTTTGGCCAAACTCTTCTTATAAGTATATGTAAACTTTTTTTTTTTTTTTTTCCCACAGTTTTATATGAAATTCATTGCTGGTTTTTCACATCAGTGTAAACAAACAGTATCTTTTTTTTTTATAGCCTTTCTAAGGAATTTTTTTGGAAAACAGCATTTGCTGTCACTCCTCTCTTTTGTGTTTTGGTTATCTTTGTGTATTTAGATCTCGGAAGCAATTTCTTGTAGCTATTTAGTTACTGTATAGTTATTTTTATTGATAGCACATGTACAGAAGAATGTTCATTATACTTTAAACCCTTACAGGTGTAAGAGTATTCACATACCCTCCCATCTAAACATAAGCTTTGAGGTTTATTTCTGTTTGGTGAGACTCATCAGAGAACAACAATTTGGTATTCAGGCCATATATAACCCATTTTTTTTTCTGGAGACACAATTGTGTGAATTGTTGGAACTGACAATTGGAGAAAATTCAGAGCCATGAAGATGAAATTAATAATGTATGTTTGCTTGAATGTTCTTGTATTTTAAGCAAAACCAAAGAAAAAAATTCATACTGGCTGTTAACATTTAGCAGCATAGCATAATTATTTTAAGAAGTAGGTAGTTTCAATGCAAGATAACCTCAAAATTCATTGGTTTCTTTTTTGGCATTGACACTGTTCTATGTGTTGTTTAGGACAAGGCTTGTTCACATAATGTTGATGTTGTAAATAACCTTCATGTGCCTGATGCAGTTTGCTCTGGATATTTAGATTTGCGAGTTCAGTTTTAGAAATTGTTATCTTGCCAATGGAAGAAAAAAACTAATTAAAAATAGGTATACAATGACAGTTCTAAAAATTATAAAAAAGTACATGAAACTGTCTTGGTTACTGAAGAGCACTTCATTAGTTTTGTTTCATGCACTTAAGGATTTTGGTGCGTCATGTTAAGTATTCTCATGCAGTAGTTGGTTTTCCATTACAGTGACCTGTTAAAGTCCACAAAGGCAAGTAAAGCTTCAGATCATAATTTCATCTTAAACTTTAGTTGCGTAAATGTTGCAAGTGTTTCTTACTCTTATTTTCAACTAACTTATTTCTAGAAAAGAAAGATGTAACACAGAGCTTGGAAAACTACACAGCAAAATGCCCTGGCACAATGGAATTCATCACTCTTCCAGATGGTTTGAAGTTGCCTCCTGTTCCATTCACCAAATTGCCTATTGTGAGGTAGGACTCTGAATGCAGTCTTTAACTTTTCCACAGTACCTGTCAAATTTTAAAGGATACTGGAAGGATGTAGCCTTCTCAGTTTATGTAAGCTGTTCACAATAACATGAAAAAATGTCAAAATGTCAAATTGTTTTGAGAAGTTCTTGGGCAAAAATAGAGCCCTTGAGTAGAAAATACTTTTTGTGGTCTTCAGAGTCAGAAAGAGAGGATTTTTTAAAATAAAACTGTCATTCAGGAGTTTCTGATACAATCTAAGAAAAGTGTTTTATAATTGCAGTTGAGATTTAAGTTAGATTATCAGGTCACTCCAATGACTAATATATTTTTTAGATTAAAGCCTAGTATGAAGTCTTTGAGAGAGACACAGAGATGGAATAACTGCAGTTTGGCATGAAATTAAAAGGCTAAAAGAAAATCTGTGTCATGAGTGGTGTTTGGTAATTGCCATTCAGAAAAAAATGTACTGGAAGTTATTGAAAAGAGTACTCACAGATGTTTCATTTCTCTGTGGGATGTCATCAGACATAAATAAAATAAAATGAAATGTTCTGGTATCACAAGAAGATAATAATACAAGTGTAACAAAAAGCAAAAACGATATTTACTTTCAGATTACCTTCAGTCTCTAAAATGACATAAATGTTTTATTCTATGAGCATTTTTTGATTCTGTAGCTACTTCTACTGTTCTAACTTCTCTGATTTTTCACTGAAGACAAAGACCTTGTTTAACTATATGTAGTGCATTAAATACAATAGTTTTGTTCTCACGAGCAATTTGTTGTGCAGAACGCACCCTCTTAAGGTGCAGATTAGACTGGAGCATAGGCCTGAGATTGAACATACGTAGCAGACAAGCCAGCAGTGTCCTGAACTGTGTTTTGTCCCATGTTGGGGCCAAGTGCACTGGTTAGCCACATGGGTCGCCCCACATCTCGTGCATTCCTGCAGGAAAGATGCAGATCTTGGAGATCTTCCAGCATTGTTTTATTTACAATTGGCATTTCATTGTCTGCTAGTTATTAATCTGTTTCATGTGTCATACTAATTTTGGATACAGATGTCTTAATTACAATACTGTTGAACATTGAACTACCTTAATGTAGCCAGAATGCAATGGCATTATTACGTTTTTCTCTCCTGTACCCGTGAAGCAATTGAGGAGATTTGGCTTGGCAAAGTTATAGTTGATTATTCATGATATGTAGTATTTAATGCCTGTAGCTGCCCTTTAAGTGTTTACTCCTGATACTTCATATGATCTGTTTCATTTTTTTTTTCTGCCATATTTTTGAACTTTGTCTATTATTGACAATTATTAAGTATTATTTTTATGTGTTTTCTAGCCTTTGGAACTTTTGGCATGTCAAATACTTTAGTGTAATCTGAAAGGCTCTTTGAGCTTTTAATTGTTTGTCTGAAGCTCTAGAAATTGAAAGCACATGAGATTGGAAAGTATACTATGAAAAGCCCTAGCATTTTATCAAATACAAAATGGAAGATTAATTGTCTTCCTATTTTAATAGAAGCAGCGTTTATTAGACTTAAGCAGAGTTTGGAAGTATTTTGGTCTCCCTTCTAAGCAAGTTTGTTTTTAATCAATACAGCTTTTTTATTTCCCTAATAAAAGATTTTATTCTTCCACATTGGGAATTACAGAACAACTGCAATACCATAATTGCCACTCTGGTGAACTCAGTAGGGCTGGGACCAGGCCTAGTAAATATTCTTAATCAAGCTTTTCACACAAAGGAATTTTAAAAGATAATGTTTCCTAGCAAGTAGTTGAAGATCTTTCCTTCCACTGCTATGCATTAAGATTTAGGAAAAAAAAAAAAGTGTATCCAGCTCTATTTATTAAATAGTGATGGCTGAGCCAAAGTCCTTGCTATTGAGGACATAAAATCCCTTTTATTAGCAATTCCTCAATTTTTAGTGTTAATTTCCTCAAATACGTATCACTCACACGTGTTGCTTAAATTTGCATTCTAATTTGTACTCAGATCCAATCAGAAGAGGTATTGTACTTCGTTCAGAGTATTCTGGAGTCTGTCATAGACTCTCTTTTTGCATTTGACTGATGCTGTCACATTTATCAACAGATAATGAATGGATGTGAGATATGTCTTGTTCCAAAACACTTTTCATATTCTCTTGTAACTTCTTATCAAATGTTCTGTATCACAGAGGTAACTTGTCTTTATAATATTCCTGTTACAGCATCATTATTTTTCAGTAATAGCACATTATCTTGAATGCTTTGGGTGATTCTTAAAACAAATGGCTTTCATGTATGTACGCACTTTTTATTAGTGGGAATATTGGTTTCTTTGGTTGATAAAACTGTTCTTCATTGTGCTGAGCTTCTAAATGTGGAGGACTTGATTTTCATGTTCTCTGTGATAGTTTCTTATTTTGAAATTCAGTTTAATTCTGTAACTGTGGTGAGTGAGTGACTCAATTTCTTTCATATAAACGTTGCAAAACTGTTCTATCATTTAAGGGAACACATTTTGAGGTGAAGATGCTTGATTTTAAGTTAAAGAAGGCAGGTTTCTTACTTCTCCAGTCATGATATTTGATGAACTATATAAAAACATGAGAATTTAATCATGTACTGTAACATCCACAGCCTCTTTGTAGAATTCCTAAAGAATTTCAGTGAAATAAGTTTTATAAACCAGTAACAGGGAAAGAGGAGAAGTCGTTAGTTCATCTTTGAACAGGTTGGGTTTTCTGGTATTCTTGCACTTGGCTCCTCAGCTGCCTTTTGAAGTCTTTGAGGGTTTTGGTAGTCTTTCATCATCATCATCATCATATCTAGGTGCATACATAATCGATCTTATAGAAATGTATTTTTTAAAGTTTAGTACTGGCAAGGCTTTTGAACATTTTAATTCATGGTTGTCCACGTCACTGTGCTGGGATGCATGTGGCAATTAGCAAAAAATGAAGGTTTTTCTATTGATTTCTTTTTTTTTTTTTCTCCATCAGCAGTGGAAGACCAATGGTTTCCCTGCTTTGTATCACAGGAATTTTGGTCAGCAAGATGGTATAATGAATCAGTCCTTTCCTGTCTGTTAGTAATCGCTTTACGATCTTTAAACGAGACCTCTCCAATTCCTGTGACATTTCCTTCCTTCCAGATGCAGTTTTATGTACTTAAACTGTTTTATTCACTTTGAAGAAGTTCATTATTTGTATTACATTGTCCAGTGAAATTTTGCCTGGCTTTGACTTAGCTTTGTTAAATTTTTGCTTGCTTTCTGAATTTCTGTGTTCTTATAATTCAGTTCTCACTTATCTTGGAAACTAACAGCTGGATTTTAAATCCCTTGCTAGTTTTGCATTTGATGCTTTCTCTAGAAGATGTTTTTCCTTTGCTATTTGTTTTTAACATGACCTTCTATAAAAGTTATTTTTGCTTAACAGATCTGTGAAGCTCTTGAACCTTCCCACCAGCCTCCGACCTCACAAAATTAAAAGTCTACTTGGTCAGAATGTGTCAACCAAAAGCCCCTTCATATATTCTCCAATTATTGCTCATAGTCGTGGGGAAGAGCGAACTAAGAAAATAGGTAAGAATATTTTCCAGTATTTCACATTATTTTGTTACGTTGGAAGTTCTATCTTGATCAGGGATAGCAAGCCTGAATTTCTTTTGAATTAATCAGTTTTTTAGCCTGAGATTCCAAAGAGTAAAAGTTTGTTCTCCCCAATGACTTTTGAACCTGTGGGACAGTTCAGTCAGGTGAGAAATGGGAAGAAAGTCACATAGCTGATCAGATTCATTTTCAGAGGAGCAGGTGCTCCTCAGTACCCAAACTTTGTATCATCTCAAGTTTGGATGGACATGGTAGCAAATTGTGACCCTGCTGCAGTAGTAATTTGATTTCAAAAGATGGCTAAGAAAGGTTAAGGAATTAAAAAGATGTAGATCTGACGGTATCTCCTAGAATATTTCTTTGGAAAATTTTTCTTTACATCTTATAACGTTTCTTTGTGTCTCTTAATTTGATGATGTTTGTTATATTTTTTTCATTGAAATAAAATCTTACTGCCAGTCTTAACATGCGATTGTTTTATGCAGTATTCTTGTTCCTTGAGGGATTCAAAGGGGAACCTCCATTTTTTGGTGGCAGTGCAAGTTGGTACCACAGGAGTTTTAAATTATACAGTTTCTCCTTTTAGCTATTTAGTTTGTTTAGTATAAGAAGATGTCTGAGCCACTTGTGATGCTCTTTAAGGCTTTTATCTTTTGAAGCACATAGCCAGCACATTTACTTTTAAAACCTCTAATGTTTGGTAGAAAAATTTTGCAAAGAAAAGAATGTACAAAACAAAACCATAGCTCCATTATAACAAGGAAGAATCTTTGAAGATAACATGGTTATTTTTTTTAACATGTATTTGATTTACTTTAATTAGAAATAACAATAATAAATGGTCTGTGTTTTTATTATGGAAACCAAAGGGGAAACAAAGCTCTTCAGAAAAATCTTGCATTTTCAGCTTTTAAGCTTTCAACTTGATAAGCTTTTCTAATTGAAAACAATAAATTGGATTATTTTATTCTGTTTAAATTGATTTAATGTGTGCAAGTCATGAGGAATAAACCTCATGGATTATGACATAAAGGGATTTTTGTTATAAAGTCTGATAGTGTAAGCAGTGCTGCTGGTAGTGTAATACAGCTCTATTAGAAAGTCTTGCAAGTAATCTCTCATATCTACATGCAGATGATGTAAGTATAGATCTTAACCTTGCACCATATAACTGGATTTTACCTTTCCTTTCAAAAGCTTTTCCTCCAGGGCAGCAATTCTATAGCACTGTCCTGCTCTGTTTTATGTAGATCTTGTGGGAAGCAAACTGTAGGTAACTAGTGAGGACTCTTGGTGCTGCTGGCTATGGTTTCTGAGTGAATAAGTTGACACAACATGTATTATTTGTTTTCCTGAAAATAAATGTCAATAGTTTTGTTGGGGAGGTAGCTTAGGGAGGGTTTGACAGTGAGAAATTGGTCAAAGCTGCAAAAATATAAGAAATGATCTTAGGATCTTGTTCTCTTTGGGGGAAAATAGATTAAAGCATAAGAGTTCTAATAATTTTGTTTGTTTTGAGTAAAACTTAGCAAGTAATTACTTTCAATGTGTTGGTTTTTTTTCTCCAGTGATTTACATTTTCGGAATTCCTTTATGTGGTTGCATTGCATGCATTTTTCAAAAAAGGAATTCTGATCCTCTGGTAGTTCTTCTAATCTGGAAATTACTGTAATTTGCAAGGTCTAAAATGCCCACTTCAGTTCACTGGTAACCATAATGGGGGCTCAGTGCTTAAATAGCTTTGAAACTGTGTGACAGCTCTCAAGAGAAGCTACCAGTTCTTTTGGGGACTGCAAAGTGCCGAAGACTTTGGACACTAATGAATTAATTAGAAACAAAACAGCACAAACAACAACTACAAAACATCCCACGCAAATGTGCATTTGAACATGTAGTTTTAATCTACTGTTTTACTTCCCTGGTTCCACAGTAATATAAGCTGTTAATATCTCAGAATGTATGCTGTTAATTTCTAGTAGTGTTAATTGGACTTAAAGATTTGCATTAAGCACATCTCCCTTGAGCTCTCTAACACTGCTTGCAAAATGTAATCAGATAGTGATTGTGAATGTGCTGTTAGAGTGCAGATGGTTTTAATTGTGAGTTACAGCATTAATAATCTTAGGTTTTTTTTTACAAAACATTTTCTAATATCCCAGAGAAAAGAGCATTAACAATGTGTTAAAATCATTGTGTAAACTAGTTAAAAGTTAATCTGCGTTCGTTATAGATTAGATTATGGTCATGATTTATTTAATTATTTAATGACTATTTTAAAACCACCTTTTGTTTACTTGGACTGTCGGACCTCACCTTGTATGGTAAATGTCACATTCAGTATAAAATCTGAATGTAGAGTGCATGTGGTTATGGGGAGAAATGCAGGAGGCAGAAAGGAGCACCACGTGGCTGAAAAGATGATGGAGATGTGGTGCCAAACAACCTTTGTGCATGGAGCAGCCCACCAGAAACGGTTTATGTGCCACAGGCCTCCCTTTCTTAAATTCCTTACCTCCTTAAATGCAACCAAAAATCTTATACTTAGTGTGGTGCATTGTCCTTAAAGCGTGAACTCTGTCACTTGTGGCAGGGTAGGTCAAGAAATAAGCTGCCCTTGCAGTTTCTATTTACAGGTCATGGGTCTTTCCTAAATATATCCAGAAATTACTATCTTCTGTTATTGCTTAAGTCTACCTTTTGTAACCATTGATCAGTAATCAGCATCAATATTTTTTTCATGTCATCTTCCCCTCCCACAGCATTTCCCAAACTTCTTATTGTGTTCTGTGGGAAATCAGTAGGAGGAGAATGGAGGTGGCATCTTGCTGGTGAGCAGATGCTTTCTTCTTAATTTAGAACAATCTTTATTTCACTTCATATTGTCAAATGTGTATAGATGAAGATATTTTTTTTTTCCCATGATTTTTCATATCCTTTTTTCCTTTGGTGTTTATTCCCTATCTGGCTGCTTTTTGACTGAGCCTTGATACGAGGTAATGCGTACTTTGGGCCAACCACCCAGTATGGAAGTCCTGAAGCTTTCAAATGGTTACCATTAAGGAAGTGTTTAAGTACTCTTTTGAAATGGTGCCGGAGTTAATTTTGCCAAAGTAATGTTGGCACAATGTGATGCTGGGCTCTGGAGCACTACTAGCATTAATATAATAAACCTATTAATGAATGCTTCCAGTCCTTTAACACATTGCTTTGCCTCTGATTTGAAGCTTCTGTCCATTGGTACTTGAACAGGACTTGGGCTGTGCAGATCATAGAGAAGTGTTAATTTCAAAAATAAAGCTAATGTAACACTCTGACAGCTCAGCTGCTGCTCATTTTTATAACACTACCATTAGGCAATTCCTGCATTAATTCTGTACTTGTTTTGTGTTAGACTTCCAGTGGGTCCAGGGAGATGTGTGTGAAGTTCAGTTGATGGTGTACAACCCTATGCCTTTTGAGCTCCGAGTAGAAAACATGGTATGTATCTTCAAAAACATTTTCTAACTTCTTCACTAGGTTAGAATTTTAATACCATTTTATACAAATCAAATAGTTCAAAATCTGTTTAAGTCAGTACAGCGTCAGTATAACAGTGCAGCAGTGTAAGTTCTCTCACATTTTTGCAGTGGTGATGAGGTACTGAATTGAAATGTCTGCTCTTCGGAGAGTTAAAATGCTTTACTGCTGCTGACCTGTGAATCAATTCTGTATCTTTCTGCATTGATTCAAACTCATGCTAAATAATTTATTTATGCTGGTTTTCAAGTAATAATCATATCCTGAAGCCTAATAATTACTGTATTCTTCCTCCTGTTACTTGTTTTTATCCTAGCTTTACAAATTCCCACGTTGACCACATTTTTTCAAAAAATGAGGAATGAAAATAACTCGTTTTGAGAAGCTTTGATTTATAATAGATGCTTCAGCATATGGATATGCTATTCCCAAGCATATATGTTATTTGCAACCACTGGATGCTAAATTGATGAGATGGAATTGGGGAGAAAAAGGCTAAAACACCAGAGAAGCGTCTCAGGTTAGAAGGTTCAAGCCCAAGCTCTCTACTGAAACACAGTGGATTTTTTTTTTCCTCATTGCAATTAACAGGACTTTTTAAGGTTATTATATCTCTTAAAAGGTTAAACATCCTTTAATTGCAAAACCACCTTAGTCTCCAGTCACTCCTAATCCAGTGTTATCCTTAGTTGAATACTTTCACCTTTTCCCCAATATTTAATATTGCTTCACAAAAGGAGTCCCAACTCACACAACCCACAAAGTAAATAAAACTACGCCAGTAAATTAGGCTGTATTTATATGCTCAGGATTTTTTTTTTAAATTGCTAATTGTACTGCAGTGGCTAATCAAACAATTAGACCTAAATTACAGGTAATATGCCACATATCATATTTTTTCCACAGGAAATGAACACACTCAAGAAAACAGTTTTAAACTGGAAGGGGGTAGATTGGACTAGGTAACAAGAGGAAAGGTTGTTGTTAGAGTACTGTGAAATTCTTTCTAGGAAGCTAACATACTCAGTTCCTTCAGCAGCATTTTGTCTTATGCTTACAGAGGTATACTGAAATGTTAGGAATGAATAGAAAAAGTAATGGTAAATGTGTGCATCAGAAAGGACTCCACGTAAAACTTATTTTAAGAACGCTTTGATTTATTGCTTAATCTGTCTTGTGTAAGTAATGATGAAATTATATATTCAAACTGTTTTTGGATAAATTCTTAATGAGGAAATTCCTTGTAAGTGGCTGCATATGCTACGGAGTTTGGAATACAGTTATTTATACGAGTGTGCACTCCATCCATTCACTGTGAAAATTAATTGTAATAGCATGAATACTACAAGCTAGATAGTTATCTTCTGAATTAATACTGCATTTCAGTTTCATTGGTAAGCGCCGGAGGATGTAGAAAGGCAGACTAGATACAAATAATTGAAGTGATTAACATAGTTCTTTAGTCAGTGTTCTAAAAATAGAGTGCTTTGAGAAAATCTGCTGTGCACTAATGTTGTCTAATTGGTAGAAATGAGTTGATTTTGCTTCATTTGTGTGGAATCAGGAATGTAGGCAGCAAATGGGGACAGCAATTACTCCTCTCAACTCAGTGTTTGAGAGACAATGTCTTCAGCACCAACTGTTGAGCACCCTGCTTAGCAGCAATACATATGGACTGGTGTCAGTGCAGCAGCATAGGACAGGTAAGGAGAACTGCATCTGTTCAGTCAGAAGAAGAGAGGACTAGTGGGTAATTCCTCTTGCTGTCATTCCCAGTTGGGAAGCTGCTATGAAAACAGAGCGGGACTCTTCCCAGAGGTGCACAGCAAAAATTTCCCACGTTGCAGCAATGGGAAACTTTCCTAATAGAAAAATTCTATTTTGCCAATGTCTCAGTGGCCATACAGTAGGAAGAGGTTTCTGAGAGGGAATAAGGGATCACCATCTTCTGAAATCTTCAAAGTCTGAGTGGATAGGACAGTGAAAAAACCTGTACTGATGCGAAAGCCGTTCCTGTTTGGAGCCATGGATTGGGCAAGAGGACCTCTGACATTTCCATCCAGCCTGACTTGTTTTGATTCTTTGATGTTGTTTGTGGGTTTACTGGTGTGTGGAAATAGGTATTACTTGATCACAAGAACAAAATCCTTGTGGTTTTCTTTTAATAATTCAGAACGTTTAATATTTTAAAAAGTTTTATTTTATTATTGAAGTGTACTCATGTGTGCAGTCCCTGTGCCTTCCTGTTTGATTTCTTGTAATTTTTATGTTCTTCAACATTATTTAGCCTCAGAATCATTTGTACAGCGAGCATATCCCTTTCATTTAATGGCAGTTTTAGATTGTCTGGCCCACAACCTTTTCCTTCTTTCTGACTCAGCACCTTACCTGTGCAGTATGACTACTCATTCAACCTTGTTTCCAATGACTGACAGTCCTTTGAATTCTCCATTGCATGATGTCCCTTGTTTCCCTTTGTCAAGGTTCATGTGCAACTGTCTTAAAATCTATAGTCATTCTATTTTTTTTCCTTATTTTCCCTTCCTATTAACTTTAAGTTTCTTTTGTTGTTGTTTGAGCTTACTTTTTGCATGTTAAACACTAGAAGCGTTGGTCCAAACTTTTATAAGTGCTCTTGTCTTTACATATCATCCTGCTTGTTATGGCTGAACATTTGGAAGATAGTCAACATAGCACTGACATAAAGCACTGAGATAAAGCACAAGTTATTTAGGAGAATGGTTTTCCACTGAAAGGCTTCTCTGTTGTTTTTTTCTTTTTATTATTTGAAATAGTATTCATAGAATCACAGAAGTGACCTTTAAGATCATCTGGTTCTAACCCCCTGCTATGGGCAGGAGCACCTCCCACTAGACCAGGTTGCTCACAGCCCCATCCAGCCTGGCCTTCAATGCTTCCAGGGAGGGAGGATCCACAACCTTTCTGGGCAATGTGTTCCAGTGTATCACCACCCTCACAGTAAAGAATTTCCTCCTAATATCTTGACTACATCTACCCTCTTAGCGTTTAAAGCCATTTTCCCTTGTCATGTTGCTAGATGCCCTTATAAAAAGTCCCTCCTGTAGGCCCCCTTCAGGTGCTGGAAGGCTGCTAAAAGTTCCCCCCAGAGCTTTCTCTTCTCCAAGCTGAAAAGCTCCAGCTCTCTCAGCCTGTCTTTGTAGGGGAGTTGCTCCAGCCCTCTAATCATCTTCATGGCCCTCCTCTGGGGGCCCCAAAACGGGATGCAGTACTCCAGATGGAGTCTCATGAGAGCAGAGCAGAGGGGCAGAATCAGCTCCCTCAACCTGCTGGTTGTGCTTCTTTTGATGCCACCCAGGATTACTGCTAAGTATGTTTAGTTTATTATAAGAGTGTAGAGGCATGACTGATCAATATTATTCAGGTGAAGAAGCCCTGTGAAGTCAGAATGTTGACTTTTTGTTGTGGTTTTTATTTTTTCCTTTTAGTTTCCTCATCTTTTGTCCCATAGTCCCACGTATTCCTGAGTTGGAAATCTCTTTAGATACCTGTTCTTCGTATGTGTCTCATTTCTTTGTAACTTAACTCTTTTCTGTATCCTGATTTTCTTTCATCCATATAGTGGGAAGACTCATCCGATGACAGTCATATAATGCTCATAAAATGGCAAATAAGAGTATTTAATCATGGAATACAGTGGCAATTAGGTCCAAAAACTGCATATTTTGGTCAGTGAGGTAAAATAGGGGTGGTCAGAGGCGGCGCTTTCATAAACTTTAGCAGATGGCTTGAATAAACATAGAGGTAAATATGATCCTAACTTGCTTTATCTGCAGTGCATTAGATTGAATATTTTTTTGCTGTGCTGGTGGTGGGATCCAAGTCAAGAGTAGATGTGATGTTCAGCTGTAAATAAGTATACATACAGCTTTACATTTTTCCCGGAATGTTGATACCTGTTTAGAATTGTTCAGACACGTGAATGAATGTTGGCCTCTGTCATATGGAACCTTTTTTCTATCTGAGAAAAAATGACCTTTGGATTTGAAACCGTCAGAAAATTAAAAAATCCTGTGAAATCTCTGACAGATTCATTTCATGTCTTGGAAATAATGTCGAGGCTTTAAATCCTGGCTAAATCTGGTGACATCTGCTATTAAAATAGAGCACATATGAAGATACAGCACAAAGTCTGTTAAGTCTGCAAGATTTTAACTACTTTTTTTCTCTGTTTCTCAAGCTTCATATTAAAGGCAAATATGCTGTCTTGAAAACCTCTATGAGAAATTTTGAGGGAATGTTATTTATTGAACTAAATCATTTATTTTCTGCACTTACTGTAGAAAATGTGGCTTTCTTAGAATCACCGCGATGGTAGCTATAGAGCAGTATAAGTGGTATTCAATAAATTAATACTGGGGAACTGAAAAATACTGCCACAACACACAACGTTTCTGGAGTTTGTAGTTTTAAAATCTCGTAACTCAAAAAGAAAATTTTTCTTCTATGATTCTCATTGTGCTTGGAGCCGTGTTTGTTTCAAGACAATTGAAGTGTAGTGTTTTGATTAATGATGATGTAAAAATAGAAGTTTTTTTTTTTTTTTTGTAAACTGCAGAACTATGTTATAAGCCATGAGCCCTTTCTGTGTTTAAAAATGACACCTAAAATATTGAAAAATCTTTATGTATAAGCACTCTCATAATTTCGCTTATGCTCATTCAAATTCATGGAGTTCACATCTTCTGTTTCTGCCCTCTAGGAGAATATTTACTTAGTGACAGGGTGCGTGTCGCTGAAGCTATATTGGGCAAGAAAATACACAAAAAATGTGGAAGGAAGAAGGTGAAAATGGTCATGTTTGATATATTCTAGGTCTGCTTAAAATAACAGTGCTGGAAATAGTGGGAGAAACGCTCTTTTAAAAACCTATTTGACAACGTGTAAAGTATACTTAATGAGGAAACTAACTTGGGCAGTGCTACTTGGGAAGAAAAGTGTGAGTAAAAAAGAATATAAAGCTTAAAAAGGCAGCTAAATGCCCATGTTATTTTAACTGCATCCCCAAAAGCTACCATTTACAGGCAAGTTGTTTTGTTTCTGTGCAACTAAATGGAGATTTGAAGTTATTGAAAGGTGGGCTGTAGCAATAGCTTGAATATACCCACTCTCAGGCAATTTAGGTTGTTATACGAATATAAGGAAATAAAAACCTTTTTTCTCCTGATTTATACATTACGTGGAGGGAAACTTGCATACAGATGATAGTATTTTTCTGCTTGGTCAGAAAGCAGTTATTAAATATTATTGCTGAAATATGGTGTAGTATTCTAGGGGAAAGAAATACACTTTTGCTTTTATTTTCTTTCCCTCCTTTTTCCATTTTTCTCCTCTCTCCCCTTTTCCCTTTTTCTGCATCAGATATGTTTAGTTAAAGGGAATAGCAGCAGTTCAGTTTTTCATTTCATTTATCTAAGCAGTTTTAGGCACCAGAGGGCAATGTTTGGCAAAGAATTGCTGTATTCTGCTTTCTGGGTGATAGCAATATTGGAAGTGTCTTTCAGACACTCTAGATTACATCACTGTCTTTTCAAACTTACTTGTGTGGTTCAAGTTTGAAGAGTAAGTACATTGATTTCACTTTATGTCTGTTAAACCAAGGCTTTGTTGAGGTTCACATTGTTGGTTTGCTTACTTGTTTTTCATTTTGATGACCTTTTATGCTTCCTTGATACCTTACATAAATATTGTAAGTTTTACTGGATGGTAAAACTCTCATAATGAGGGAAATAAATGCTGCATTCCACTTCATGCGGTAAAGCACTTGGGGCTGTTTAATTTTTTAGACCAGGAATAATCTGTCCTTACAGAAGATACTTGACATTTCCACTGCATTCTCTTAAAACATTTTTTGGAGGTTTTTTTTTTTTTTTTTGGTTGTTGTTGCTAAAGAATAGACTGAGGATGCATTTGTAATACACTGCAAGCAAAATACACTCTGGTGAGGACTTACTTTGCTTCATCAATTATCTTGAAGTCAGCATGCTGTGTTTGTGATCATCATGATCCAGGGGTGTCATTTTGATGCAGTTTCAGGGAGTAGACAACAATGTACCTATATGAGATCTTCTTTTGCTCCTCTGTTGTTAAAACATTTTATTACTAGTAATTGCTGGAGTGTAGTAACTCATCCTTCTTGTCCATAAGCACGTTCATGTTTTGGTTGAGGCATTTTTTGTTTCCTTAGGTATGTACTCTATGAATAGTGATTAAGGTATTTTCCAGTTGAGAATTAGAAACAGAAAGTTGCTAGTCTGCCTTTTACAGCAGATGAGAGCTTTAGAGGTGCACCATTCGGAATCCTACTGAATTAGAATTGAAGTAATTGTAGGTGTTTTTGAAGGTAAGCAATACCAGTGTGGCTAGCATTGCTGCTGCTTAAACTCTTTGTTCAATCCTCAAGTCTCTGTGTGGTTTTTTCTGCCTCAAACCATAAGTTTTTTTTTTTCATATGTCATTACAAAAATGGTATCTTTATTATACTCTTGAATTCCTGTGAAGCATCTCGACACACTTAGGTTTTAATCTAATTGTGCTTACTGCATTAATTGCTAGAGAGACTAATATTGGATATCAATATTCTCCCCCTCTCTCTCTGTATATAAGCAGCTAGTAACTTAGACTCTTGTATTTTACATTTCTTACTTTTAACAGCATGCACTGTGTTCAAGCACCTTAAATTCATTAACTGAACTTAAAAAAAGTGATTAATTTACTGAGGAAATAATGCCATGTTCTGTAGACCATGAAATAAATGTATTTATGGTTGCATTTCTTATTTTGTGTCCTGTTTTTATGTCAGGGTGCTAAGAGATTTCTCTGTCATACAGTAAGAGAATAAATGCCAATCGTATCCTGGGCTCCATCAGAAGAGAGGTGGCCAGCAGGGACAGGGAGGTGACTGTCCTCTCTGCTCTGTTCTCGTGAGGCCCCATCTGGAGTACTGTGTCCAGGTCTGGGGCTCCCAATACAGGAAAGATGTGGAGCTGTTGGAGAGGGTCCAGAGGAGGGCATCAAAGATGATCAGAGGGCTGGAGCACCTCTCCTATGAAGATAGGCTGAGGGAACTAAACTTGTTCATCCTGGAGAAGAGAAGCCCATGACTTTTAGCTTAGTTAGAAAAACTAGGCGTACTTTATTATCTGTAAACATTCAGTTTGTTCCTTCCCCATAAATAAATCTTTTCTGGCCTGGAACTTTAATTAAAGCTAAGGAGGAACTGCTGTTGATGTTTGATTTTCATTGTCCAAAATTTAAGCAAATATATGTTGTGTCACAAGTCCAATTAAATGTGGTTATAAAAAAACGCCTTGCAGATTATATCACTTGCGTTTTTTTGCTGTGTTTTGGGTATAAATTATTTGTATTTCATATATCATTCTCAGCTCAGACACATCCTGAAGCACACACTTCTTTACTGAATACAAATCTTGCAGTAATTCTAAAAGGCTGCTTAAGTCACTGGAACTTTAAACCAAAGCAACTGCTATGTGCAAATTCGAATAAACCATAAAAGTTTGGATGATATATTGCAAGTGATTAAATCTTAAGTGTATATCATAAATGGATTTATCCATATTGTACAACTTTTTTTTCAGGGTCTCTTGACAACAGGAGTAGAATTCGAATCTCTTCCTGCAGCCCTTTCTCTACCTGCAGAATCTGGTTTGTATCCAGTAACTCTTGTTGGTGTTCCTCAAACCACTGGACAGATCACTATCAATGGTAAGGGATCTTTTCCATCATTCTGTCCTGTATTTTGTGTGACTGTGAGTGATGTTATAGCACAATTCAAATGGATGTGCTTTACACATTTGCCACTCCAAATTCTCCTCAATATGTGAAACAAATCAAAAAATCAAGCAGAACCACAAATATCACTATTTGATATGCTAGACTTCATTAAAACCATAGTATGATGCTGAAAAATCATTTGTTTGTAATGGTAACAACATATATTTACAATATCTTCCGTATGAAAGGAAAAGGATAATGAGCTCCATCGTAGCAATGTTTTAATTTGGAAAGCTTCCGAGAAAAATGGCTTAAACGTTTTCATGAGAAGGCAGAAGATCCTTCAGCTCCTTTTTCTTAATTAACCATTTTCATGTAATGTTACAGAAATTTTTGCCAGTTGCTTGTGTAGAAACAATTTAGCTGGTGTGTGTAGAGTAATGAAGTCAAGATGTCACTGCATTCATAAGGCTAAGTGGAATCGTCTTCCTAGTAAGTGAAGAGAATTAAAGAACTTTTTTTAGAAACCTGGCAGATGAGACTCCTTGAAAATGCAGTGTATGTGAACATGGTAGATGCAGCATGTAGTAGTACTGAGCCATATTAACAACGTGAAATTTTAGGTACATACTCTCATAATATAACAGGAAAAGAACTGTTTTAATACAATTCAACACCAAAAGAAGATGGATTTTGAACTCGAAGAAGATTTGTTCTCATTGTGTTTCTCCTAAATGCTTTTCTGCCTGCTAAAAAAAATGATTTTGCTTTCTTTTTAGGTGTTTTTTTTTTTTTTTTTTTTCTTCAGAAACTATTTCAGTGAATACAGAATAGCATCAAAGCATTCAGGAACATTTGTTCTGTAGTTGTCCGCTTTTAGTTTCATATACTAAAAATGTATTGCAAGCAGAGGAGTTGATTTCTGTATTTGGTTGTTACTTGTATGTCAATGGATTATATTTTCCTTCAGTTACAGGTTGGTATATATTGCTTGGCAAGGAATTGGTGTTGAGATATTTGACTGCTAAACCGAGCTTTTAGAGTATAAGCTGTGATATCTCATGGCAAGTGTACGCATATATCCATATTCAATTTTCTAAAAAGAATCATTTGCCTCGGGGATGCATTATCTTCAAGACACTCTAGAGACTGCTGTCAGGTTTTTTTTGGAAAAGTTAGGGGAGTCTCAACATTAATTGAAAGGTAACAAGTTATGTGCACTGGTGGATAATGTGATAAGGTATTGTGAAATGCTGGTCTGTATGACATAATTTATTACGTTGAACTTGTAATGGTTTACAGAATTTGCCATAATGCATGGTAAAAATTCTGGACAATATATATATATTATTAGTTATAGATACAGAGACAGAAATGTGTGTTTTTTGTATATTATTTATTTAAAAATATTATCTTGGCCACTCGGAAACTTTTTTTGTTTTAAATATTTTATGTCCTGAGAAGATTCTCTTGTAGAGAAGGTAGTGTTCTAGGTAGCAGAAACACTGACAAGTTCTGGCAGGTAACATTAGTGTATTAGATCTTTTAGAAAACAAAAGCAATGTGCAACTTTTTTTTTTTTTTTTTAAACAAAAAATCAGGTTACCATACCTCAGTGTTTGGAGTATTCAGTGATTGCCTTCTGGACAACCTACCAGGAGTCAAGACCAATGGCTGTACTGTTGAAGTCATTCCAGCTTTGCCGAGGCTACAGATCAGTACCTCCCTTCCAAGGTGAGAAGCTGAATAAAATGAGGATTTTATTTGGTAATATTGAAGTGTTAACATTCATAAATGTTCATAAAATCTGTAGTAAAGGAATAACCCATGAAATACTGTGGGTTAGAAGGGGATCTTCTAGATATCATCTGGTGTAGGATGTTGCTCAAAGCGGGATGAGCTCTGACTAGCGATGTGCCTTTGATGTTAGATGTGTTTGCTCAGGACATTGTCTCATTGTCTCTGACCACACATGGAAAAGTCTGCCTCTAGCCTCCTGTTTTTCAGAGTGAAACAAACAGCTCTTTGAATCTGTCCTTGTATGTGATGTGCTCTGTCATCCTGTTTGTCCTGATGCTCCTGTTCTGGATTTTCTTCAGCATATCTATGCTTCTGTTTGATGGGTGTATGGGAACTGCTGAACCACAGCCTGAACCTCTGATTGACCACCTGAGGCGAGCAATGAGTCAGCTCTGGGAGTACAGGTGAAGGCAATTCTCCTGTGCTATTGGAACGGGTGGAGCCTGGCTCCCCCTCTCCTAGACCCCATTTAAGAGCTGGCTATTAGGGGGAAGGATCTCTTTTGGAGATCACTCCTCTTGGAGTCTTCTCAGAGAGCCCAGGATAAGGGTAAGCATTCCATCTGTTCTTCTTTAGTGTGATAACCTGTTTAGCCTAACTTTCCTGTATATTTCCTAATTATAACATCCATATATTTGGTGATTATGGAATAGGGAAGCTCCAAGCTAGACAGTATACTGCAGAAACAGTGTGTGTAAGAGTTACGAGAAGAATTAGCTAAGACAATCTCTTCGTATACTCACCAGGCGTGTCAATCACATCACAATTGTCTGTAAGCTAAAAGTGGTTGATTTTTTTTTTCTTTTTCTTTTTTTTTTTTTTTTTTCTTTTTTCTTAAGCTTTATTTTCAGGTAAAGAATGTGACTAACTCTACAACTTTAGAGAGAACTGGTAGGGCATGGATTTGATTCAGTTTTTGATGAGAGCGCTCACGTACTAAGTAGCGCGTTGATCAGTGTACAAGTCTTGCCATCCATCTACCATTTTGCAAATTGTGAAGGATTTTTTTTTTAATTTTAAGGTCTCTTTAAGTTATAGATCAGCAAACAACATTTTGTTGCTTATTGATTTCTATTCTTGTTCTGTTCTTCAGTGTAGTTTACTTAATAACTCAAAGTATTCAATTTGGCTCTGATTTTTCCATAAATAATTTTACTTATGTGGAATGAGTTGCATTGGTAACATTTTATTGCAAAGACATGAAAGTCTCTGAAATACTCTGAAGACAGCAAAGTAGTAAAACAGTGTAGTTGCATTGCATGCTGGTGAACTGGTTATATAATATTTGCTAGGTATGCAGTCTATATGGTTTAGCTGTTGTAGGGAACTGGTAGCTCATGGCTTGAAAGGATAATTGAGCACATGGTGAAGGGATGTGGCTGGCCTAGGGAGCACAGGCAAATTGTTTGCACCTGTGTCCCTTATGCAACCAGAAGGGGTGGCCCTGGGCTCATGTAAGGGCCAGCCACTGAAGGGAGAGCATCTTCTGGACCTAGGCTGCTTCCTGTGGAGGAATGTTGTGTAGCCACTGAGCTCTTTTATTAAAGAATGTGGTTTGAAATACAGGGGGAATTGCAAATATTCTTAAAGGAGCATAATACCTACTCTTTTTGGATATGTGCTCTACTGAGAATATGGAACATTAATAAGACTTTCTTTGTATGTTGGAGTATATTTCCCTTTTCACTGGTGCTAAGATTGCTCTTAGCTTCTTCAGATGCTTTGGTTTCTGTGTTCAGTCTCAGCTCTTGTGACATCCTAGATATTCAGATGTGCTCCTGGTTATCTTGCAGTATGCCAGAGGTCTTTCTCTGCCACCACTTTGTCCTTCTCTCAGACTTTGTGACAGTAAATTGTGTTATGTAGCTCTTGTAAGCTCTACTTTATCCTCTGGAGAAAGACACTGTAAAGAAATAACAGAATTTACAGTCAGCTGTAGAAGATCTGAGTAATTTTTCTTCTCCTGTATTGCTGGTGTGTTTTATGTTTACATTTGCTTTGAGACCCAGCCTACCAACATCTGAGCTGTATTCCTGAAAGGAAGTCTTTTTCTGACCGATCACATCAGCCTTTGTTGAAGGTAACTTTTCTGAGTTTATCCCCAGTTCATTTATTTTTGAAGTGTTTGAGATAACTTTGATACTGAACTTTGTGAATGACTTCAAGGTTTGTTTGAAGGGTCAGTTAAAGACGTGAGCTCTCTTTCTATCTATTCCAGTGTTGGTTGAACTAAGAGAGATTTTGAGTTGATAATCATATTGGCAACAATAATTCCAGGCCTTTCTATGTGTACCTAACAGTTGTTTTGGAACAGTTGTCTTGAAAGATCAGTTTATTAAGCTCAGCTTAGCAGGAGCTTTAATGAATCTTCCTGTGCTTGAGAATGACTTAATAGCTATTTTTTTATTATAGGTATATAAACACACATTTATGAATAAATTTATATGATATATGATACTACACTACTGAGTGAAACGTTATTGATGGCAAAGGTTTTAAAAAGAGAACTGATGGGGAGGAAGACAAATTCGTAAATAGAATTATCCAAGATCTATTGTGTGGATGAACTTCAGTAAGTGACAGTCAGTTCCACAAGAACTAGAAACTTTGGAAGCTTCAGGCCAGTGTGCTGGGCATCATGACTACTTCCTAATGTACTGAAACACTTCCATGGTGTTCTTATGCTCAAAATTTTGTTCGTGGGCAAAAAAAGCCAAGAACTTAACTGTTCACATCTTAGCAGACTACTAAAGGAATCATTGTTAGTACGTATTATTGACGAAGGAAGAAAAAAATACTGTGTACAGAATCATGCATTTAAAATTGTTATATATGTTCTTCCTACCTGTTTTCCTGTTGTTATTCTCACCCACCCACTGCTTCTCTGGGTCCTAAGAATGGCACTTTCAGCCTGCAGCTGCTGTTACAGTGAGTTGTCTGCATCTGGAAACCTTCACCATGAGGAACACATGCTGATGTCATTTTTACTCTTCATTTTTTTCCACTTGGAGATGCATGAGACTATTTTTGTGGTTGCTAATACACTTTTTCCACCGTGCTCTGCCTTCACATGCTGGTCTGGTCATTGAAGATATATCTACCTTCATGTAGGACATTGACAGTATGGTGGTGGAGTTTGGGAGTGCTTAACAATGTAAAGTAATTTATCCTCTTCTGTAAGTATAAAGGTTTCATCTCACCTGAGGCTTCTTCTGCTGGTTGAATTTATTCTAATTTTTTCAGTGTCGATGGGCTGATCAGAAAGCAGTACAGACTTCAGGATCCTGCAGATGGCTCTCGCTGGTATCAGCCATGGCGTTCAATACCTTCCCTTGATTTCCTTTTCTCTTTAGTACTCAGACCTGGTGTTCAAATACTTGGTAGATCAGATGTCACTTCTTTCAAGTTTGGTGATTCTGATAACCTGCAATTGTTTTTTTTGTTCTCTTAATTTTTTTCAAGGGTTTTTTAACAGGCTTTCAGTCAGGGAAACGTTTCATATTGTTTTGCACAGCACTAACATTTGTCTTGGTATAAAAAAAATAGAATGACATCATTTTCCATTCTAATTTTAGCCACATTCAAGTATCTTCAAGATTTCAGAGCCATAGTTTTTGAATCTTTGAAGAATGGCTAAGAGAACGTAGTAAGTTGGACACGCTTTTAATGCGCTTATTGTAATACTCTTTGCATGTTTGTCATATCTTTGTAGGTCCGCTCATACGCTTCAGCCTTCTTCAGGAGATGAAGTCTCCACTAGTGTATCTGTCCAGCTTTACAATGGAGAGACTCAACAGCTGATCATTAAGTTGGAAAACATTGGAACAGAACCATTGGAGACGTTGGAGGTCACGGCGAAAACAGTCAATACAAAGGGTGTGTATGCTGTTTTAAAATTAGGAAGAATAATCCTTTTCATAAATAAAAGCAGGACTAGTTATGTTTGTAGGATGTTTTTTAGGTCAGATTAATGCAAATATAATACCTGTTAAAAACTTTTTTTTTTTTTTGTATAAACTTGAAAATGAATGTAAGAATATGCAGGAAGAAAATGAAGGAAAATGTGGAACCATCTGTATGTAAAGGGGTCATATGATTTTTCATATACTTCCTAAAATGAAGTGCTCAGTAAGCAATAGGAAAATGTGGGATGGAACACTTTAAAAAAAAAAAAAAGAAAAAAAAAAAAAAAAGACACAGCCCAGATAAAATGCTTTGAATTAAAAGATTGAATTGAAGATGCAGAAGAAATATGCAGTACATTTCCTGCTTTCACTTCTCCCAAAGTACATACTTAAATTTATCAAATAGTCTGAGAGGCAAATACCACCTCCTTGTGATGGTCTGTCAGCTCTATTGTCCTGTGAGGCATCATTAAGAAAATGATATTAACAGAAGAACTACAGATGACGAGCAATAGAATCTATACATACAGTAGAAAGATCTCATTTGATTGTAGATTTTATTCTATCAGTGCCAGATGATTTAAATGCGATGTGATACCTGGTGTTTTTTGCTCTTTTCAGCATTCAGGCTTGTCTTTTTTTCAAGAGCATATCCTCTTCTCTGCAGCCTGAGAGACAAGGAGTTGCCAATCATCCAAGAATAGATTATCTGTCAGGGAGTTGTTACCAAGAATAACTTCAGAAGTTGAAGTAAAATAGTTTACTGTTCTCTGTTTCAGTAATTTTAAGGTGTTCATACTGTGCAAAGTTCTTGCTGTATGTTTGTAAAGGAAAGACTAAATACTGTGAGTGAAGGTTTGTCAGCAGCATAATCTTGTCAGTGATGCTGTATGAATGGAAATAAGTGAGTAGTACATGAAACTGCATTTAATAGAAATGCAAACTCCTAAATTATTATACATTAAGATATTATGTAGATTGTTAAGAACACTAGGAATTATCTGTAGTTAAGAGAAGTTAGGAACTATCTATAGTATGTATTAATAAATGGTCTCTTGGATGTTCTTTACTATTTCTTACTTGAAATGTGGCTGTAATGCAAGCTGCTCGGGGTTTCCTTGAGAGCTGGTTGGCATCTTCGTCTGCCATTATGGCTGTTTGCCTGCCTGTCATCTTGGGAGCCTGTAAGAAGTGGTTGCCTAACTTCGGCCAGAGACACAGAGCCTCTAATCTTTCTTGATTTCACCTGATTTTTTCTTTCGTTCTTTCACTTATGACACTTCTTACAAATCTTGCACAGCTGCTGCATGTGTGCCTGTCTAGCCTGTTCACAGATTTATAAGAATCATTTAGCTTGGCAGAGACCCTTAGGATCATCAACTCAAACCATCAATATAAGACCAGAAAGTCCCATCAGTAAGCCATGTCCCTAAGTACAAACACCACAAATCTCTTGAACGCCTCCCGAGTTGGGGTTACCTGTCTCTCTGAGCAGCCTGTCCCAATGACTAGCCACCCCTTCTGTGGAAAAACTCTTCCTCATATCCAATCTTAACCTTCCCTGGCACAACTTGGGGCTACTTCCTTGTGTCTTGTCACCTGGGAAATAAGACTGATGCCCAGCTGGTAGTTCTTGGGAGTGATGAGGTTTCTCCTCAGCCTTCTCCAGACTGCATCACCCCAGTTCTCACAACTGCTCCTTTTAAGTCTTGTTTTCCTGTTTGTTGAACAGTTTTGTCGCTCTTCTCTGCATGCTTGAGCAGCTCAGTGTACCTCATGCATTGAGGGGCCCAAAACTGAACACAGTATTTGGAGTGCTGTCTCACCAGTGCCATCTACAAAGGGACAGTCACAGCCCTGTGTTCTGAAACAGATCCTGAAGCAAATCAGAAAAAGGGAATTGTCATATTGTCACAATAAATTCTATCAATATCATGTCTTTTAATGTCTCGTTATACCAGTCTTGTCTAGCAGGCTGTGATATCTGTAAGTCAGACATCACATGTATGCTGTGAAGGCCAGCTGTGTCACTTCATGTTGTCACTTGCTGTGTCAGATTCTCTTACACTTTTGTAGAATGATGATGTGCAAAGGATGACTTTCTATCCTCTGTCTCCAGTCAGCTCTTGCCAGAGGATTGTTATGTCAAAGTTAAGGGGTTCCCACTAAAGGCTTTTGTAACTCAGCTGTTCAGTCCATTCTGGAGAAAAGGTGACCCTGATGTGTTTTTGAAGCTTGAAGCATTGAGAGAAGAATGCCAGGCATTCTTACCAGACTTGCAGGCTGTAGCAGTGAGTGCCAGCTGCACATGCTGAATGAGCTTAAATGATAGAAGCAACCAGTCCTCATTGATCTTTCCTAAAGTGATTGCTCTCTGGAACTTAAACATATGGAAATAAATTCACCTGTCTAACTCTGTTCTTTTCATGGCCTTTGAAAGCATCTGCTTGTGGTCTCAGCTGTTTAACCATGCCTGATCTCAAGTGAGAAAAATCTACTCTGAGGACCAGGTAGCTATTTTTAAGAGTTGCAGATATGTATCTGCTTATCTTTTTTTCCAGCCAAAACTACGAGCATTGGTAGTCCTGCTCTGGTTTTCGCTGTGGGATTTCTCAGTTTTTTTCCTTTCTGCCCTGTTATTCAGGACATTTTAAGATATTTACTCTTTTTTTTTTCTACTCCTGGGATGAATGTTAAATGGTTCATGGTATTAGAACAAGTTCTTGTCAATTATAAGGGTGTTTGTTAGCTGTGTGGAAGCAGCTCTTCAAGATACATTTACATTGTAAAGGGTATAGCAAGGTCTGCGAGTCTATTTCTGTCTGCTAGGTTTGAGTCCAAAATACTCTGTAATTATCTCCTCGGTTTGAAAGATGCTGTTTTCCTTCAATCTGGAAGAAGATATAATAGTAATATTGGTTAGTTGCCGATGAGCACACAAGCTATTAATGTTTTTAACCTTGTAATTCTAACATGCGCAGTCTGCGGCTCCAGATTTTCATAAAACCTCGTGGTTACTCTACATTGGTAAATTCACAACTTCTGTTTTCACTAGAATTACGTGCACTTGACATTTAATGTGAATGAATGTCTATGTGTTCAGAGCTGATTGTTGCTTTGGGGTCCTGTGTATTCTGCTGGGGATATACAGATCAGCTGGTGTGGCAGCAAGAAGCAGAGATGCAGATTACTGTGGAAGTCTGTAGAGTTCTGTTGCCTTGAAACATATCACATTTTTATTTTCAGTTGTTTATCCTCCGTGTATGCAGTGTGCTTTTGTTTCTTGAATTCAGAGATATGGACCATTCTGGTGTCATCTGTCTGTGCTCTTGCATTACTATTTCCTCTCAGAAGCTCAGCTTGAGAAGCAGCAGTTGTTTTGGCTGTGATCTTCCTAGAACTTAACTGTCAGTCATAGTCTGCTATTTTTTTCTTTGTACTTTGTTTCTTTTTGCCCTTACCTTTAAACCTTTTCCTTCTCTGTTCCAAGTGTTTTAATTAAATTGTTTGCAATGTTGCTAGAGACTCAGTGGTCCTCCAGGCTGAACTGCAGCTTTTTATCCTGCTGTGCCTATTTCTATTTGTCAGGAATTTACAACTCGGAGTACTATTGCACATACATGCACTTTCTGTGATGCTTTAAGTTACGTTTGCAATCTCAAGGCTGATTACAGTTACAGTTAGTGTAGGGTTCTGTGCCCATAACCCCCACCCTCTCAATTCTGCAGCAGAAAGTGAGACAGGTGTAAGATTCTCTTTTAGGGCTGATGGTTCAAGAATTCATAGAACCTTAGGAGAATGTACTTTGGGAGATCTCTCAAGTCTGGCCATGGTTGTGTTTGTAGTGTACTTAGTATCCTTAGTTGATGCGTATCCCCGCGCAGTCCTCTTTAGGTAGCTCATTAATTAAATTTGCTTAATCCCATTTTGAAGCTGCCTGCCTCTGTGTGTTGGCATTTTATGGTTTTTGTGGTTACAGGCAAATAATTCTGATAGGCATGGTAGCAATCGCAGTGCGTGTTGTTCTGTACAACAGTATGGCCTTGTGATGGTGAGAAAGTAAAAACTCTCCTAATGGTTACTTGTAATTGGTATGCAAAATGCCAGTGTGGAATTGTTTTTATGGATCTTAAAACCTGAAGATGTTGGAGTTGAACCTGAAATTATGTTATGGGTAAGATACCCTATGATATTTGTTGTGATTTTAGTGATTTAGTCTCTATGAAAAGGATATAATAAGTTTCTCATTTACACTCCTGACTGGAAGTGGCTTGAAACTTCAACTGTTGAATGCAGATTTTAGACTCTGGAACCAACTGAATGCAAAATAAGAATATTTTCCATACAACTGATAGGTTTGAATCCCAGTGTTGTGATATAATTCAGTGTAATACTGACTGCTAAACCAGGTAAAGAAAATAATAATGAACTATAAACCACTAATACTTAATATTGAACTTGATTTTTCAACTTGAGCATTCAGACTTTGTCTTGTAATTACAAGTGTTAAATTAGAGTGTATTTCTTGGGTACCTTAATACCTGCAGGGGTTGTTTTCACTCTAAAGATCTTTTCACCCTTAATATCTTCAAATGCATTTTTTGCTTAATGGAAATACAGTTTGGAAACAACTTGTTCTTTAAGCTGGAAATACAGTCAAGTACTTGGGATATGTCATTTTGATTTGAGGAAAAATATCCCTGTAACATACTATGTTTTTACTTATCAGGAACAGAAAACAGAGATTGCTCTGCTTTTAAAATGTATTTCCTCGAAAATGAATGGAAACTGGAACAATGAGTTTGTTAGAGCTCAATCATTGGATGAGATGGAGGTGACTTTATGGAAACAACTATTAGTGGGATTTCTTCTTTTTACCATATTTTTGGTCTTATAGAGAAGTCTGTAATATTGATTTGGTGAGGGAAGAATGAAGACAATTATTCTAGAAAAAGCATTTATCATTTAGGCAGAAGCAAGGGAAAAATATTCACTTGTTTTTCTGGATGCAGCTGTTTCTGGGTAAATTAATGAACTTTTGACTAGAATTCTAATTATTCTTGTTAGATCATTAAATCTAGACTGTAGCTGAAACAGTCTTCCCACTGTTTTCTTAAAGATGATGACTGGAAAGGCCCTGAAGTGCCAATACACTTACTTGCTTGTAAATGGAGCCTGGTACAGAGCAGAAATGAGCTCTGTGACTTTCTCTGCTCCTTATGCAAAACATTGCTTTTTCAGTGAGCCTTTAGAATAATTTGTCAGCATTTTTTGCTGACGTTTGTGATGTGTTGCTATGAATCAGTAAATATCTCTGAAATGCTCCCAGTCTAACTATCAAGTTTATGTTACGTACGTAGACATTCGTGCCGGTGCTCACCTTTTTATGATCTTACAAATATTAGTGGATATTAAGATTTATATATACTTATGGATGTGGTGGTTTCACTCCCACCGAGTTGCACACCTGCTCTTCCCTGCTGCCATGGATGTGGGAGAGAACTGCAGGGGCAGAGGTGAGAAAAATCACGGGTTGTAATAATAAGAAAAAAGAAACAGGTGAACAAGTGATGCAAAGGCAGTCACCACCTGCTACATCTAGAGTAGCTGTTTTAGACTGTTCCAGTACTCAGAAACCTTGTCTAATTAAAAAAAATAAATAAATCTCTTATGTAAACTTCATAAACTTCACAGAATACCAAAGCTTTTTTGCTTTTATTGAAAGCACTTAATCAGAAAATCATAGAATGGCTTGGGTTGGAAGGGACCTCAAGGATCATCAAACTGCAACCCCCCTGTTGCAGGCAGGGCCACCAACCTCCCCATTTAATACTAGACCAGGCTGCCCAGGGCCCCATCCAACCTGACCTTGAACACCTCTGGGGATGGGGCACTGAGTTCAGTTTTTGGCATATCTTTCAACTTGAAATAATGCAACTCACCCTTCTTCCTGAAGTGGCATTGACCTCTGCTGCTCTTCATAGTGGATTATTTGTTGTTCTTGGAATGCTAAGGAGGCTGCATGAATGGTAAAAGGATCTCAATTTATTGCAGATGAGCAATAAATGATGTTCTTTGTTTTTGTTCTTTTCCTCCTATTACTTTCTGGTGTTTCAGGAGTAGGAAAGAAGAACCAATAATGACTTGTTGCATGTCATGAGAATCAATGATAAATCGTTTATTAACCCATATCTTTTAAGTAAACTACTCCTACCTGGTGCTATTCTTAATGTTTGAATGTTGCATACTTTGTGCTTCCCAGTTTAGAGGAAGGACTTTGTTTTCTTTACAAATAATTGAATGCTGATGGCCTTCACTGTCTTCTTCATTGCTTGTTAACTAACTGTGTAGTGATGCCACAAGTGTTTCAGAATTGTAACTTACTTATTTTGGTGTAATATCTTAATGCTTTTTTTTTTTTTTTAACTAATGTGCCACTTCTTAAGTGGGAGCCTAGAAGATTCAGAGCTATGTGAACTTTTCAGGCTATGTTTTTGAGTATTCAGAAATTATATTTAATGCTACCTATGGCATATGTTGGTTTTTTTCTGTATTTATTCACCTAAATTTATATTTTCAGTTTTGTGATCCTTTCAGTCGCTGTAATATCTCTGATGCCTTCTATTGTTACGATCATTTCTGATGCCTTATGTCTAAATATCTTAGAATTTAAACAGAAAATGAGAAATCAGTTAATGCTCTGCACAACAGTTACAAAATGAAATATTCTTAATGATGGTGATCATAGTCTTAAAATTTTTGCTTATTTTAATACAGAGAAGCTGTATGGAGACTTCCTGAGTTGGAAGCTAGAAGATACGCTCTCCCAGTTTCCTCTGAGACCTGGGAAGATCGCAACATTTGTTGTAAACATTAAAGTGAAGCTGGACTTCTCGTGCCAAGAAAATCTTCTGCAAGATCTCAGTGATGGTGAGTTCTTCATTTCCTCTTCCTCAGCAGCGTTTTGTGAACCGCTGAGAAGCGGTTGTCCAGTCCTTGTGCCCTTCTTCTTTGAAATACGGCGTGTGATATTTTAATATTTATAACTTGTAATGCAGAAGCAGCTCTTCATGAAGATTATGGATTGAAGACTGAATTTTTGTGACAGCTTGACCAAACTTTGACATGAGATACCATCTTGCTCTTTTAAAATTTTTCTTGATAGAGATTGTTCTCTGATGGAGAAAAACAGTTTGTAAATATCTTTTAGATGTTTAGATGTAGCAATTAATATCAAGTTGGTTATTTCATTTTACAGGATTGTAGAATTGTTAATAGTGGCTGATAGTTTTGACAGAAGAGTCATACTGGTTTGTAGGGTGTAATCCCTCAAATATTTCTGTTTTCTTATGCTTAAACTCATAGCTTTTTGAAGAGGAAAGAACAATGTTTGCGTGTATTAGAATGATGCCATATTACAAGCACCAGATACTTGTAGTGAGGATTTCCTCTTTATCATGAACATGGTCTTACTGGAGTAATTGCTATACTCTGTATTTCTTCAATTGTCTGATATATTTACAGTAATTGAATTACTTGATAAAACATAGTATTTGTGTATCTTAAAGAGAACCATGTAATAATTACCTCAACTTTTCCCTGAATTCACTTCTAGGTGTACGTTGTTTGTGTAATCAATAATTACAATACAAATATTTTTCAATGTAGAAAAACTGCAGTGAAATGGCATGCATAGCTTAATCAAAGCCAAAAGGACTGAGTTCTGTGAGTCACCTTGCATATGCTTCTAAACAAAAGTTTAAATTATTTCATTATTTTTTAAACATTCTGAGTGTAAAATAGATTTAAAAAAAAAAACAAACAAACAAAAAAAAAGAAAATGTAATGTTTCTATGCTAAGGCTTACTTTGAAGGACTCCATTTCTTAATTAGTACTGTGCAAAGGCTTGAAAAAAATTTTTGATGGAAGGAAGAAGGAAAGCACCCTGAAATTCTGACGAAAATGCAGATACGTAGGAACTGAGGTTTAGAGAAATGTCCTTTATAGGAAATGTAATTCTATGCAGCACAAATTTTATGAAACAAATTTACAGAAGCAGAGTATAGGGGAACTATTGAATTATTTTACTGTTTTAGGAGCATAAAATACTGCGCTTCTTGCAGATCCCTGAACTGCTGGTCTTCATGTTCCCTTGCAGATGATATTGCCATGGAAATTTCAGTAACTTATTGCTCGGTGATTTTTAAGGGCTTTTATGAGCTCATAATTCAATTCCTTGTCCATTACATTGTATAGAAATTGCGTAGGCTGTTTGATTCAAAATGTAAGTTTAGCTTCAGTTTTGTTTGGAATTATCTTTCTAGTTGGCGTTAATGGAAAAGAAATCTGAATCATGGGTATGAGAAGAAATTTGATCGATGTCATCAACGTGACTTAAAAAGAAATTATGAAAGTCAGTATTGTAAAGGTAGACATTATGGTTTTTAGTTCCAGTTCTCTTGGTTTATTTTTGTAACTTTAAAAAAACAAAAAAAAACAAAAAAAAACTTCTTTCTGCTATTTGCCCTGTCTCATAAATCTCCAGATGTAATTGAAAGCTAGATATGACGGGCAGTTTTTTAGATGAAATAAGGTACAAACAAAATATACTGCAGAAGAAGTTAACACGCTTTATGACTGTTTTCAAGAGTGGATAGTGACAGGACAAGGGGGAATGGTTTTAAACTGAGACAGGGGAGGTTTAGGGTTGATATTAGGAGGAAGTTTTTCACTCACGGGGTGGTGACACACTGGAACAGGTTGCCCAAGGAGGTTGTGGATGCCCCATCCCTGGAGGCATTCAAGGCCAGGCTGGATGTGGCTCTGGGCAGCCTGGTCTGGTGGTTGGTGACCCTGCAGATAGCAGGGGGTTGAAACTCGATGATCGTTGTGGTCCTTTTCAACCCAGCCATTCTGTGATTACTTTCTCCTTGTTACTAATTTGAAATAGCTGTGGAACAGTTTTTTTTTTTTTTATTATTTTAAATAATATGTACGTAACTTCTATGCGGCCACCTATGGAAAAAAAAATTTCGTTCAGTGTTTTTCCCTTATTATTTTTGTCTGGAGCTTCTCTGATGAGATGTTGTCCAACTGCAGACAGGAGGTAGTCAACCTTTTTCAGTAATGATAAAGAAATAAGGTCTGTTAGGGTCAAGGTGACAGGTACCACCTGTACTTCAAAGGTATTACTAGAAATGCTATGTACATTAATATTTTCACTCACTACTGTAATTTTTATGTATTTCTCTGAAGTCTTACAAATACAACACATTTTGAAAGAGCAGGTAACGTCCTGTTATGAAGTACAACAGAAAACTAAGAAGGTCAATGGCAATTACAACATGTCTTTTAATCTTATGGTAGCTATGTTATCTTTTGCTTTTGAAGACCAGATTAGACCAGATTTGCAGTGATGATCAAAATACTTGTGTCTTTTAAAAGTAATGCCCTTAGCGGGGCATCTGTTACTTTGATCTGTTTTCACTTGCTGCTGAAATTGCTTCCTTTTGTTTATAATCAGAATGCAGCACAGAAGGGACAAATTACAGATGTTTCTGATGATACACTTATCCAATTGGAAAATAAACTAAGTTATCAATCAGAATTGCTGATCTAATTCTTGTGTGTTGATGGTATACTGTCGGGTAAAGAAAAATGTTAGATGCTTTTCTAGATTAAAGGAAACAAAAACACATGAGTGGCTGTACAGGATCAGATCAATGACAGTCTAGTCCAATATCCTGGCTGTGATAATGGTTAAGAGCAGATGCCTGGGGTACAAAATAGGGAAAATTATGAACATGTATGTGATTTTCCTTTGTGTTTGAGTTCCAACTTCCAGAATCTGGTACAATTTCTGTTTTTTAGGCATTGTTTGCGTTCTCAGTGTGTTTCTACTTCATAAAATTCTTTGCACTCTGCCAGACCTATTCATAGTGTGCAGAGAAGCTGCACAGCTAAATTATTTTTGTCAGCTTTCAGCCTACTGGTGTCCTTCCAATAGTATATATTTCCTTGTATTTTGAGAAGCAGGTAACAGTCCATCTTCTAAACATTTTATCAGTGCTTATGATGCTACACACTTTTCCAGTGTTATTTTTACGGTGGTCTCTTTCTCAATGTAAAGATTTGTTTGGCTTTGCTGACCTTGTTGTGGGAAGAGTTCCATACATTTGTCAGCATTATTGTCTCTTTGGAATGCTCTTGGTTCTATATCCTTTCAGAGGTCTTTATATGCTATTTGGAAGGCAGTCTGTGTACTTCAGTAGTGACCAAACGATGCTCTTCGTTGTTTTCTGTTTCTTGCCTTAGAATAATGCACAGCTTATTTACTGTTTTCTGACTGTTGCTCAACATTCATTGTTCATGAATCTGTGAGTCACAGCTCTACAATCTTGCTTCAGAGCAGTAATGATATTCTGAGAGTCTCTTATTTCACATATAAGGCTACGATTTTTTTCCCTTTTATTTCTGCTGAATTTCACTTGACATCTTAGTCACTGAGTGACTGAGTCTTAGTGACTGAGCCCAGTCACTGAGTTTCATAAGACCCTAGCTGTTACGCCAGCAACTGGCCGTTCTCTATGTTGTATAGGCTTCAACTCTGGGACTTGGGTTTGTATGAATATAGCCTTGTAACACACCAATAACACAGAAGTGTGTTTGCCCATTAAAACCTGCCATTGAGTGCTTCTGTCACAATCTGTTTTGCTTTTACAGAATCACAGAATGGCCAGGGTTGGAAGGGACCTCAAGGATCATGAAGCTCCAACCCCTGCCACATGCAGGGCCACCAACTTCCCCATTTAATACCAGACCAGGCTGTCCAGGGCCCCATCCAACCTGGCCTTGAACACCTCCAGGGATGGGGCATCCACAGCCTCCCTGGGCAGCCTGTTCCAGCACCTCACCACTCTCTCTGTAAAGAACTTCCCCCTGACATCCAGCCTAAATCTTCTCTCTTTCAACTTAGAACCATTTCCCCTTGTCCTGCTGTTGTCTACCCTCTGGCTCCCCTCCTGTTTGTAGGCTCCCTTTAGGTACTGAAAGGCTTCAATGAGGTCACCCCATGGCATTTCCTTCCTGTCTTTAGAAATAATTACTTTGCAAGCAGTTGGAACAGCTGGGCAGATGTTCTTAGGACTCTTTATTACTTAAAATTAGGAAAACAAGGCTTATATTTGAAGGTAGTTGCCAGAGATCTCTAGAAGGTTTTCTGAACACCTCTAATCTTCCCTGTGCTGAGTTCAGAGTTCCTTCTATTTGTGCTCTTGATTCTGTGGTCGGGAAATTCTGTGTATGTATTTAATGCAATTCCAAGGCAGTTGTACTCAGTAAGACTTGAGGAAGCACTGTATTGCTTGGTACAGCCTGGCTTAAGGAGCTTCAGCAGTAAGGTGTCTCCCTGCTGCTAGATGAAGGATTTCTACAGAATGTTCACGTTGTGAATATAATTAGTTCTTCTTCCAAGTCTTTATAGTTTAATTTCTGATATCTCCTTTTTCCCTGATGTTAAACAGGACAAGAACAATAGCTGCTCTTTTGGATTGTTTTATAATTGGTAACTTGTTAGTGGGAAGGAGTCTTTGAAAAAAGCTTCTATTAAATGAGGATAATGTTTTGTGAAGTAAATTAAACTGCAACAAATACTTCATTATGCAGAAGTGTTAGTGTTTGTTCATTCTGTGCATAGGGGACCTAAAGACAGATGTGAGACTATTTAAATACATAAACTCATCAGAGGAACTAATTACATGCTAAGAGAAGCAAAACTGTGCCTTAAGTCAATCTTCTCTGGGGAGGAAAAGGTTGCAGAGAAATAATAGTGTGTTTCTAAAAGCAGTGATCTTGAATGTGTTCTTAATATCGGTATATGAGACTGTTTTGCATCTATTTTGGAATTGCTTTGTTGCTTCTATTTCATAGC